CACGTTGCCAGAAGTGTCCTTGAGTTACAGGGCAGATGTGAATTTCAAGGAAGGTCAAGCCTTTTGCCATATCATATTCTTTGGTGGGATTGCCGATGAAGCAAGCATATATTTGCTATAACAATCGACTAAGTTACTTATTTTCTTATTGAAGTAGTACCAGTCCTTTATCACCTTAAACTAAATAGGGTGAATGCATCTCATATTACTGTTTTACTGGTAGTCTCGAAACTTTACTCCAATAAGATTTTTTTAATTTGTATTTTACGCAATAATGTTGCTAGATATTCTTTACTTGGTGGACGCTTTATTCTTCCGAATTCGACTCAGGAACCAAGGAGTTAGAATTAGGCCCAAAAACTTTTTGCCGATGATGTGTTGAAGGGATTCATAGATTGGTCCAACCGGCTACCTCAAGAGGGTTGTCTTGGACTTTTGTTTGTTGAATTATGCGAAGAAGAGGAGAAGACTAGACTAAGATGGAGTCTGTTTTTCAATCTAAAATTGTCAACCAAGACGGGATTGTTGCATAAACATGCAAACACGCATCGAAAAAGCTGTAACTAAACCCGAGACTACTGAATCACACTCTAGTTTACTTACATACACATTCATTCATCTCTAAAGGAAGACATAACCGATGATACAGAATGATCGTTAAGGAAGAAAATACTCTTTTGGAAGCAAGACTATGTGAAGTTAACTGGAAACATGTGATCTACCCACATGATTGGGGATAAAGTTACCTACAAGTCCTTGATCAACTTGAACGAAATTGTGTGAATATAGCATTTATATAAGTTTGTACTGGGTTCTTAATATTATGACCCATAGTTAAGAGTAATGAGGCGACGAAGATGTCTTGAATTCATTGTAGTTCACTAGTTTATGCTTAACTTTATTAATATGAAATGTGGTAATCATCGAATGATATCACGTTTCGATATTGACATCAGCTAAGAACTGCTCAATCGGCATGCGCATGTTCCACACCAGCGGATGACAATTGAGATATTAGTTGGCAAGCCGAACAGCATCAACTTCCCTCTCCGGATTACCATCCAACAGGCCCTGAGACAAAGCCTAAAGAAAAATGGGACTTTATTTATATTGTCACTTTGTTTACACATATTCCTCTCCTCTTTAGATCAGCATTTCAGACGTCCCGCCAGCCTATATGCAACTGATCAAGCGTGCCTGGTCCGAACAACCCGAGGTGCGGCCCAGTTTTGATGAATTGAATCAACAAATCAAGGCGGCAAATCGGGGCAAGTGAGTTGAAACTCTTCTCCTTAGTTTCTTATGCTTACAAAGTTGTGCTTTTTGCGAATTTTCCAAAGGGACAGATTGGAGCTTTACCTAGTCTCATTCTACGGCTCTGTTCGACTTTAGACTGTTTTATTAGTCCAAAATACTCAATTTACTTAATATCTGAGATATGTAGAGAAGCTGGGCTTCGAAGAATCCCTTAATAGACTGATACTAGTGTACCTGTAATTTCGTTTGAGAAGGCGGGTCGAAGGGATTCGTAGATTGGTCCCACCGGATACTTCAATGGGATGTCTTGGACTTTTGTCTCTTGAATTATGCGAAGAAGAAGCGAAGACTAGAACATTGTCGACCAACACGGGATTGTTGCGTGAACAGGCAAACACGCATCCACAAAGCTGTAACAAGACCCGAGACTACTGGATCACACTCTAGTTTATTGACATACACACAAGTTGTAGCCACATCCGCTCCACTGCCTGTACCACTTTTACATACCTACATGCATGTAGGACAAGCATACGTCAGCAAACCAAATCATGAAATGCCTCATAAAGATCGAAAAAAGGGAGGTATAAAAAGTAAGTAGAATCTCAGCTGGCCACCTTTCTTGGTTTAGGGTTCTTAGTAGATTTTTCGTAAAAACATGGTTTTTGGCTCTGACGATTTCCGTAAGAGGACGGACGAAGGCTCAGCACAGAGGTATGGTGGTTGCACAATTCAGTCGACAACAGTCCACGGCAACCCTCCTTCCGTAACCGGTGAGGCCAATCTATGAATCCCTTTCACCTTCCTTCTAAAATAATATGAAAGGTACTCCAGTACCCTTCTCTTCCTCCTCCATCTCATCCTTCTTATCCTCCTCCTTCTCATCCTTCTTTTTCTCCTCCTTATCCTCCTTCTTCTCCTCATCCTCCACCTCTTACT